ATCAAGGAAACAGGGAGGTTCTCCGCTCCAGGACCAGACAAGTTCCCTGCTCTCATCTTGCGGGAATGCAAGGACGCTCTAGCTCCCACTATAGCCAAGCTCTGGCAGCTATCTTTTGATACTTCGGACATCGCTGAGATGTTCCGCTCCCAGAGTATCATCCCTATCTTCAAGAAGGGGAGCAAGGCTGTAGCCGCTAACTACAGGCCGGTTTCACTGACTTCTCACCTCATCAAACTCTGTGAACGCATCATGCGCAACCAGATGGTCAGCTTCCTTGAACGCAACAACATGTTCAACCCTGATCAGCACGGTTTCCAAAAAGGCAAGAACTGCCTCACCCAGCTTCTCCATCACATCGAGGATATAATCTGCGATCTCAACCTCGACAAAAATGCTGACGTGCTCTACCTCGACTTCAGCAAAGCCTTTGATAAGGTTGACCACAAGATACTCCTCAAGAAGATTCAGGCCTTTGGTATCCGTGGTAAGCTCTACGACTGGATAGCCAGCTTTCTTACTGGCAGAAAGCAGCATGTTATCGTGGATGGGGTCATGTCCACGATCATCGACGTCATCAGTGGGGTTCCTCAGGGTACTGTCCTAGGTCCCCTTCTCTTCCTCATCTACATTGACGACATCTTCTCCGTAGTCAAGCACAGCAAGATCAAAGTGTTTGCAGATGACTCGAAGCTCCACAAAGACATATCTTCCCATATCGATCGCATCCTTCTCCAAGAAGATCTTCTCTCGGTTGTGAATTGGGCTGATGCTAACAACATGGAGCTTAACGAGGAAAAGTTCCAGCTTCTACAACACGGCAAACTACCGGACTTGAAGCAGCCCTACATCTTACCATCTGGAGAGACTCTTAAGGGCTCTGACCACGTGAAGGACCTGGGTGTCTATATCGACCCAGACCTCAACTGGCGCACTCACATAGCGATGAAGTCTGCCAAAGCCAGAAACATGGCTAGTTGGGTGCTACGCACCTTCATCTCCAGGGATGTAGCGACCATGATGCTCCTGTACAAGTCCTACGTACGATCTCATCTTGAATACTGCTGTCCTCTGTGGTCTCCTCACATGCAGTGCGAAATTATTAAACTCGAAGCAGTTCAACGATCCTTCACTGCTAAAATCCAGGGTCTTGGAAATCTCAACTACTGGGAACGCCTCCGTCGCCTGTCTATGTACTCCCTTCAAAGGCGGCGTGAGAGATACACTATAGACATCTTGCTCTATTTTGAAATCATCTTTGTCATCCCAGATCGTTATAAACTATAGCTGTTCGTCTGGCCTCCTGAACAGGTGCTGTACTTGTTCCATCATAAGGCTCTTTTTGCAGTAGAACTTTCACAAGTATATTTTACTGGAAATATAGACAGGGACCGTATTATAGTACAGCTGTTATTGCTGCATCATTAGGCTCTTTTTGCAGTAGAACTTTCACAAGTATATTTTATTGGAAATATAGACAGGGACCGTATTATAGTACAGCTGTTATTGCTGCATCATAAGGCTCTTTTTGCAGTGGAACTTTCACAAGTATATTTTATTGGAAATATAGACAGGGACCGTATTATAGTACAGCTGTTATTGCTGCATCATAAGGCTCTTTTTGCAGTGGAACTTTCACAAGTATATTTTATTGGAAATATAGACAGGGACCTTATTATAGTACAGCTGTTATTGCTGCATCATTCGGCTCTTTTTGCAGTGGAACTTTCACAAGTATATTTTATTGGAAATGTAGACAGGAACCGTATTATAGTACAGCTGTTATTGCTGCATCATTCGGCTCTTTTTGCAGTGGAACTTTCACAAGTATATTTTATTGGAAATATAGACAGGGACCGTATTATAGTACAGCTGTTATTGCTGCATCATTAGGCTCTTTTTGCAGTGGAACTTTCACAAGTATATTTTATTGGAAATATAGACAGGGACCGTATTATAGTACAGCTGTTATTGCTGCATCATTAGGCTCTTTTTGCAGTGGAACTTTCACAAGTATATTTTATTGGAAATATAGACAGGGACCGTATTATAGTACAGCTGTTATTGCTGCATCATTAGGCTCTTTTTGCAGTGGAACTTTCACAAGTATATTTTATTGGAAATATAGACAGGGACCTTATTATAGTACAGCTGTTATTGCTGCATCATTAGGCTCTTTTTGCAGTGGAACTTTCACAAGTATATTTTATTGGAAATATAGACAGGGACCGTATTATAGTACAGCTGTTATTGCTGCATCATTAGGCTCTTTTTGCAGTGGAACTTTCACAAGTATATTTTATTGGAAATATAGACAGGGACCTTATTATAGTACAGCTGTTATTGCTGCATCATTAGGCTCTTTTTGCAGTGGAACTTTCACAAGTATATTTTATTGGAAATATAGACAGGGACCGTATTATAGTACAGCTGTTATTGCTGCATCATTAGGCTCTTTTTGCAGTGGAACTTTCACAAGTATATTTTATTGGAAATATAGACAGGGACCGTATTATAGTACAGCTGTTATTGCTGCATCATTAGGCTCTTTTTGCAGTGGAACTTTCACGAGTATATTTTATTGGAAATATAGACAGGGACCTTATTATAGTACAGCTGTTATTGCTGCATCATTAGGCTCTTTTTGCAGTGGAACTTTCACAAGTATATTTTATTGGAAATATAGACAGGGACCGTATTATAGTACAGCTTTTTATGATAGACATCTGCTATCTAAACCAATTAATATAATATAGTAAAGATTGTATTATTTTATATTTATTGTAGACTTGTTATTATTCATTGGCGTTAGGCCAATTCTAATAGATGGTAGGCCAATAATTGGTCCTTACTGAAGGATTGCTTTGTCGAGATGATTCTGGATTTGTTTGTAGATGTTGTTCTATAAATCTTTATAATTGAGCTGCCTTACAGTTTTCTTTTACGAAGGTAATATTTTATCTTAAAGTGGTGGTACGATAATAATTACGAGGAATTTTAAAAAGTTTCGCTGTTTTAAAATCACAATCCCCACCACGTAGAGGGTATATAGAATGGAGGGCGACTTCGCGCTGACCTCGCCAGTGGCCAGTACAGTGAATAACAGCTGCTTGAACGAGGTTAATCTGTGTCATTTTAGAGTTATCAACGTGAGTTTCAAGTGGATTTTAATCTTAATGAAAATTAATTAGGAGATTTTAGAATCTAATCAAGGATAAGTTGAGCGTGATAAACGTATGCGAATGTCGGAGCCCTTTTCAGTAAACAGACCTATTATGAGTATTTTGGCTATGAATAAACTAGCGGTTTCCATTATAAATGGAAGTCCCAGCGAACAAAATCCTAATCTCTTCAGGGAGCGTTCCTTTTAGGAATCAGTGCAACAGGGTTCTTTCTCACTGGAACAGTGATCTTCATGCTTTTGTTCCAGCACATCAAGCTTCCAGGAAATAAGGTAAATTACACCTAGGATGCCTGGTTTGTACGACCGTCACTCTTGACAGGATAGTTGTTTGAGCGCAATAATTTAAATCGTGGAGGGCTATATTATGGATCGTTGATAGAAAATTTCTCAGATATTCCAGTCTTGCTTAAATATAATACGATTACAAATAGATTATTTACTCAGGAATAAAATCTCAAAAAAAATCAAACCTTTTTTGTAAGCGCAATGGCGAAATTTCAAATGTACATTGTACAGGGAGTATATATACTGAACGTGGCGATGAATGATGTCATGATGGCGATTATTGGTTGTATCCGAGGCAGTGTTTACTTAAAGAACTACCTGATCGATCAAAACGGAGAGAGCAATATGTTCTGCCACGTCTACGCCATACTTTCTGAACCTTTCAAGTAAGTGAACCTTTCAAGTAACTTATATAATTTTGTGAGATATCACTGAGGCCTGAGTGTAAGCTTATGGTTCAAACGAGAAAATAGAACAGTAACGTTTAATACAGTTTGAAATTTGTCAGGAATCTGTCCTAAAATTTGTACAAGTTCTGACAATTAGCTAAATATAAACCCTCAGATCGAGTCTATCACTGGTCCTAATTCCCTTAACAATTGACCGGTTTATCGCGATCTTCTTTCCAACCCGATACTCGAAATGGGTAACTTCTACCGTCACCTGGACTATGGTGCTCCTATCCTGGTGTCCGGGCGTAATTATCTGTTTCCTCGACCTTGGCAACTTCTTTACAGGAAATTTAGAGGTTTTTTCATACTTAACACTATTTTGTTTATATTTGAGTAGTGTAATTATCAGCCGCGTGGAATGCAACCATCAAACTCTAAACTGTTAATCAATATGCGCTTCTGTTCATGGTATTAAAAGGCATATTTATCCTCAGCTATACTACATGCCAACGGAACTGCGCTGTACCTTCAGCCTCAACAGACGAATCATCAATCAACACACCCAAAATATTCCTAGCAGCCCCAACAGCCTTCATCGGGATCCTCTACTTGCTCATGCTGTACAAGATCATACGAAACAATATCCCAGCAAGCAAAGTGTTCATCACCAGCACTGCTATAATCGCCACCTCGCTCGTCACTACTCTACCCGAACTAATCATTCATTTCGATAAGAATTGGACTGGTAAAGTCTCCTATGAGGTGTTTCATGTTCTGCTGGTTACTATGTATTATATTAACCCGGTCTGTAATCCTATTATATACCTGTGTAGCAATACTCTAGCTCAAGATCAGGTTATTAAGAGGAACGCATCAGTGAAGTGATAGAGTCTCTGTTTGTTCATGTAACACTTGAGAGGTATTGGAATAATCTCATTTGAATAGCTTATACCCATAGTCCTGGATAGTGCTGAATATCAGCAAGCAATTCATTTGGTATTTTGTGTGGTATCTGGGCTAATTGTCTGAGTCCCTACTGAAGCATTGACACCAGACTACATGTCATCGGATCTAATTAGCAGGTTATAATGAGATCACGTGACATGCAGCGTAGTAATCATAACTTCATAACTTCATAAGGGATCAAATGACACTCCTGGAAATTTGAGCCAGTGATACGAGACATGGGCGTCACATGCATGAAGAATGTAGGAATCAGCGGAATTGTTTAAATAGGGAAACTACCATCAGTTATCATTAATCATCTCCAGCCCAGCTCCACATCTCTAATCTACTTCTCTTTACATCATGACAGCCATAAAGACCCTGAAACAGTTCCGCAACAAGTTTAAAGTAACGAAACTCCTGGGAGAAGGAGGGTATGGCACAGTCTACCTTTGTGTTGAAATCTCTACCAGGGTCCTCCGAGCAGTTAAGAGGTTACCAAACGTGAAGGACACCTACACCTCGCTGTGCCCCCGGAGACAGAGACAAGTTCCTAACGAAATCCTGTTCCTAGAGTCCATCTCTCATCCTAGCATCGTTAAGCTGCTGGACGTGTATTTTGATGAAGATACCAACACTTGGTTCCTTGTTCAGGAGTATCATCCTGGATTTGAAGAACTGTTCTCGTACGTCAACAACAACGGCCCTATGACAACACGTGATAGCTCTAGCATTGTCAATCAGCTGATCCGAGTGGTTATGTATCTTCTCCACGACCGGATGATCGACCATCGTGATATAAAGGATGAGAACATCCTGTATAACCCTAAAACCAAGCAGATAAAACTGATCGACTTCGGCTCTGCAGCAAAGCTTTCCTCAGAACCCTATACATCGTTTAGGGGTACAGACGTCTACATTCCACCAGAGTACTACCTAAACCGAAAGTATTCAGCCCTTCCTGCAACTGTGTGGGCTATAGGGTGCATCAGCTTCATTCTACTTGAGGGAGAATGTCCTTTTGATAACCGAGAAGCAGTTAAGACTTTTACAAGTATGTCAGACTTCAAAGACCCAAAGTTTCTGAGACAGACGAAGAGAGTGAACTTTATAGAACAGTGCCTGAACCCGAGCGCTGATAAGAGGATTGATTTGTCAGATATCTCAGCTCATCCTTGGTTGCAGATTTGAGTAAATTATTATTGCAGTGTATTTTTAGAATTTCCATATTTGATGCTATTAATTTTATTTTATTAATTGATGAAATAGAGTCTAAATTAATTTGTTTTACAGTGCCAAACAAATTTACAATCCCAGTGAAACTGTCATTCACTTAAAAACTAGAAAAACAGTCAACCCCAATTCCTAACATAAATTCAACTACACAAAGTAAACATCCAATTAAAAAACAATAAATAACAATTCCCCAAACTTACCATCAGAGCTGCTGAACATTTCAACTTGAACAGGTTTTAAGAAGGAAGGTTTAGTGGTTTTAAATATTCTCCTTGGTGTTTGGTAGATGTACCACTCGTTCTTCTCGAAGTTGGCCACTGATTCCTGAAAGATAATGTTTTCAGTATTCAAAAGGTTTTATGGTGTGTTTGGGTGATACAATAACTGAGTTAACATGTGAGAACTGTATTATTTGACCGAAAAGAAAAATTCAATGTTTGACTGATAAAAAGAATTGCCGAAACTCACTGTGAGATAGAGTTTAGATTCGCTGAGTTTACTGAACTTGTGGGTAGACTCGTCATACTTATTATCGCAGATATACACATCCTTCTCCAGGAAGCAGAGTGGATGTCTTGTTGTAAAGTCCTTGATGGACAAGATGTCACATCTCCCTTCCACACTAAACAAGGATAGTATATTGTTAGTTTATTCTCGAGATGGAGGGAGATTGTTTACTTGTACCAGTTATCTGGAGGTGTGCTCATCAGTAGAAACTGAGTGATCCAGGAGTGTAGGAAGAGGGGGGGGCAGGGGGGGGGGGGGGGGCGGCGACCACCCCCCATAAAATCTGGAAAAGTGGCCAACATTTTGGCCTATCTTGTAACATTGTTGGTTACTCTTCTATGCCGTGTTCAGTATTTTCAATACCAGCATTTTTCAATGAACCAGAAATTTGTTAATTTATATTGCATATTCTGATATTAAACGGGTAGCTGATTTTGATAAAATAACATCGTGATCCGGCGTGATCAATTATTTTAATTAAGTACAACGGCTGCACCCCTGACTTTTTAACTTAACCTAAGAGAGGTATATATATTTAAAATTTTTTTGGTGTGTGAATTAAAGGTCTTCAAAACAAAACATATTACATGTCAGGATTCATCAGAAGTTCAGAAGCCTAGCGATTATAAAATTCAGATAACATTACTGATTACTCTTTTATGCCGTGGGAGTAAATTAGCAGGACACAGTTTGCCCCTTGTAGTCCAAATTTACATTACCCCATTATAGCTAGAATTCATTCCTTAAAACAAATTTTCCAAGAATTCTATTACTGAGAGACCTATTACTGAAAGCATATTTTTCAAAATTTGCATGACTTTTCTTTGACCCTTAATTAAATTGACACAACAAAATCTTTCTGGATTTATCATTTCACATTGCTAGATTTCAATTCTGAAGGTAAATTTCCTGTAATTTGTTTCGAGAGAATGCAATATGCATCCCCTTTTCGAACTACACTTATTTCGCAAGAGCTGCTTGCAGGCCCTAATATGCATTTAAGATCGTATTATTTTAATCGTTCTTGAAACTGTGTTTGAAAATGATCTCTACTGCCAAATTGTTCAGCTAGGCCTTTTACACGTTTTGCTGTTTTTGAAATTCAGGCTGTGGCCAAAGCGCGTGCTAAATCTGAAAAACTCTAAGATTTTGGCCCCCTCATGAAGAAAATCATTCCTACACCCCTGGAGTGATCAAATGTTTGTGGTTGAAAATTGTAAACTGATTTTTTGGGCCAGAGATACAGTCGTTACGTGTCTGTACGTGTCTGAGAGCGAAAAAGTATCCTTTAAACCTTAAGGATGGTATTATAGTATAGTAGTAGTATAGGTAGTATAGTAGATGGTATTATCATAGTAGGTGGACATATATATCCGTCACTTTTAGTTCACATACTTTATGCGGTGCATATTATATTGATTCCATGACTGGACTACAAGGTTATCTATTATCTAATCCATTTTTTTAATTTCTACGTTATGATTTTAAAAAAAATGGTCACCAGACTTACTTAACTGCATGACCTGAAACATGAAAAATGCCTAAAGATTATTGTGAGTATGAGTTCATAATGGTCACAGTTGCACTTATCAGTAGTTTTCTTGATACTTTGCAGTTTTTGAACGATAACGTTGACGTATCTTAGTTTCAAATGTCAACTTTCTCACGTATCGAATTAAAAGCCATCCAGATAAGGACAAAAAAGAGTACTCATGTGATATTCTGCTTGCCGTTAAAAGTCACGGTTACTCAATTTTCCTACGTTTTCTACGAAAGTTTTGATACTTGGGAGTTTTTCCATTAGGTTGAGATTTGCCTTCGGAAACCAAGCATTACATTTTATTTTCCTCGTTTATAGGTCAATCGTTTTTTAAATCATGTTAATCTTTATATTATTATATAATCTAACATTTATGAACTATTTCAACCGTGCAATGTACAGTTTATCAATAGAATAGGAACAACAATCTATTCTATTCTGTAGGTTTCCAAAACCAGCTAATAAAACCACATTCCAGAAAGATGAAACTCTTAGTATTCCTGTGTCTAGTTGGGGCTGTGCTGGGAAACCTTGCGTTTGAAGAATGGGCCAAAGAGCACAGTAAGGTGTACTCCTCGTACAGGGAGAGAATGTACCGTCAAGAGATCTGGGAATCCAACATGATCACCATCCTGTCACACAACGTACGACATGTCAAGGGAGAGACCACATACAACATGGCCATGAACGCATTCGGTGATATGACCTTCGAAGAGTTCCGCTCTCACAAGACCTGTTACGGAGGTAACCTCGGAAAAACCCCCAAGATCCACTACGGTGGTTCAACCTTCATGGCTCCCCTTAACTTCACCGCCCCTGCTGCTGTGGACTTCAGGAAGCTGGGATATGTCAATGCCATCAAGGATCAGGGACAATGTGGCAGTTGCTGGGCTTTCTCCACCACTGGCTCTCTTGAGGGGCAACTTTTCAGGAAGAACGGAAAACTTGTGTCTCTCAGCGAACAACAGCTTGTAGACTGCTCTGGAAAGTTCGGAAATGACGGCTGTGATGGAGGACTTATGGACTGGGCCTTCACCTACATCATGAGTGTAAAGGGTCTGGAAGCAGAGAAATCTTATGCCTACACTGCTGAGGATGGAGAATGCCAGTACAACGCCGCTAATGCAATTGGTGGCGCCACCGGTTTCATCGACATTCCTGAAGGAAGTGAAGATATGCTCACCATGGCTATCGCCGCCAACGGTCCCATCTCTGTTGCCATCGACGCCAGCCACAGCTCATTCCAGTTCTACAACAAGGGAGTGTACGATGAGCCTAACTGCAGTAGTACCGAGCTGGATCACGGAGTACTGGCTGTTGGGTACGGTACTGATAGTACCGGACAAGACTTCTACATCGTCAAGAACTCCTGGGGAACCAGCTGGGGTTTGGATGGGTACATCATGATGACCAGGAACAAGAAGAACCAGTGCGGTATTGCAAGCTCTGCATCTTTCCCCATGGTTTAGATTGTAAATCAATGAACACTCCGAAAGTTTAAAAACTGTTTTAAGGGAGGATTTTGCCAATTATTAGTTTGAGATAAATTTTAAGATTTAATTTTTTGTATTTTTGTTTTGTATTGTAAACATTTTTAAAACTCACAATTAAATTGTAAATAACGCGTATCCTTTAACAAAATTCTACCAAATTTTAAGTTTAAATTCAAAGACGTAAAATTCATGCACATAAAGCAAACCCTTCTATTATCATGATTATGGCATTGTTCTTTTGGCCGTGTGCACGATTTGACCACCTGATCCCACTTTCTCGAAAACTTACACTTAATGGCAGAAAAAAGCCAGAAATAACTGGAAGATGGAAGGAACATACCTGTTGATATGGTTCATGTCCGCTATGCTACTCATCAGACACTCGTTAGGATAAAAGGCCTTCGTGTCGTAGAACTTTGTGTCAGAAGGTCTGATGAACCAAGGACCGTAAACCCACACATGATTACTCTTATCCTGAACAAGTTAACAATTTGAACCTAATTGATTAATGTGGGAATGTTGGGTTATTGTGAAATAAACTTTTCTGCAGGGTTAAAGTTTAATGAAAGTTGAGTCAATACCTTGTGAATCTTATCGATTCTAGCAATGTAGGGGAGATCGTTTTCTGATTTAAGGTACACGAAGTCTCCCACTTTGAAGATGTCACCGTTATCCCTAACAAATTGGAGATAATATGTCTTGTGGTCGTTTGTTCCGTGTACTACTGTTTGTGTTGAATACCTGCGGAGATGTAGGGTTCAGACATATAAAATTCCGATCAAATAAATCAAATTAAAACTTAATCATACATAAGATCGTCACAAATATTCATAAAAATATCCTAATAATTTTTCCATTGGTCCCCCGTCCCGATAAAAAAGTTCCCTCGAACCAGATTTGAACTGGTGACCTAAGGATTACTAGGGTTGAAACCATTACAGTCCTCCGCTCTGCCAACTGAGCTACCAAGGGGATACAACGATTTGAGTTCACGATTAAAAATAAATTCATTGTCTGTGTTTGAACTTGTAAATCAGCTAGAGGTAGTGAATAAGTTGGCCGTAGTCATCTTGTCCCCTTCCCCGTTAATGTGCAATATGTTCCATGCATTAAAATGTCTTTTTTTCTAAACACATGAGTCGAACTCGAATTGAAGGGAATTTTGTTGTAGTTCTTACATATTACCTGATACATCTAAAATAATAATGCGCCAAATTATGTTATAAAATTCAAAATAATAATACCATACATACATCGATGATCGACTTACCTTGTATTTATATTGATAATACATTTGATAAAACCTATTAAATTAATTTAATTCGCGCGCGAAAGAGCAAATCATTTGCTGTCATGTTGTTTCATCTTAAGGATGCTATTCGGAGTTCGCGCATGGCGCGAATATGGCGCGAATTCAGAGACTACTAAACAACAACGCATTGAGCAACACAGAGCTAACATGCCATAATTAGACACAATTATTTTATACTTTTTAACCAAATATTAATCCATTAAACAAAACATCTGAAGGAAGTTCGAGAGTAAGGCAGTTTATAATATTATATCAAGCATTGGCTTATCGTCCGCCTAATGCATCCTTGTCAAGCTTTAAGGCACTCCTCAGTTTTTTCTCCGTATGTATCAGTAGTATTAATGACGACAGCTACGATATCATGATGACTGGAGACTTTAACTTACCCTCAATTGACTGGCAGACAAATTGTGTTCAATCTGGAGGCACGCAAGAAATTCAGCAGTCAGCACAGCATTTCTTAACTTTCATGTCTGATCATCTGCTGAGTCAGTACGTAATGTGTCCAACGAGAGGAAACAATGTTTTGGACCTGTTTATTACTAACAACAACCGAGTTGTTACAAATGTTGAATGCAAAACCACAACAATGTCAGACCATCACGTGGTAGATGTTATGCTAGCATATAATCCACTTGAACAGGAGAAATCAGCAGTGCCGAAGTTTGATGAAAACTCGTACAGATGCCTTGATTTTCTCCAAGCAGACTTCAGCTCGCTCAGAGACGAGATAGAAGACACTAACTGGTCTCAACTTCGTTCTTCATGCTCTTTTGAAGACTTCCCAGCCTTGTTTACTGAGACCCTCTTTCAGATATGCTCGTCTCATGTTCCCCGCAAGGCCAAACCTTCTGGGCGCCCAAAACATACCAATGCTTTGCGGCGTAAAAGGAACCGACTCCAGGCAAGGCTGAATGCCTTAGTCAACAATGGTGCACCTGACGATCACATCAGAAATGTTAGGAACAAGGTTGCACTCCTACAGTATGATATTCGATGTGCCCATACCAAGAGACTTGATGAAAAGGAATCCAGGGCAGTAGAAAAGATCAAAACAAATCCCAAGTTCTTTTTCAGTTATGCTAAGTCTCTGTCGAAGATCAAATCCAGTATTAACATGCTCTTTGATAGCAACCAGGAGATAACCACAGACCCCAAGAAAATGGCCGATCTGCTGCAGGAACAGTTCAGCTCTGTGTTTAGCGATCCGACCTCTCCTGATGTTAAGGATCCGGTTTTCTCCCCTCCCTCTATCCAGCACCCACAAGAACTAGAGGACTTTAGAATTAGTGACGAAGATATCATTTCAGCTATAAAAAGTATCTCTACAGATTCTGCTTGTGGACCGGACGGAATACCTACAACTCTCTTGAAAAACTGTGCTAAGGAGTTGTGTTCTCCTATACGTATTATTTGGGAGGAATCATTTGAAAACGGTACAGTGCCATCGTTCTACAAAGACACCTACATTACACCACTATTTAAAAAGGGTGACAGGGCCAGGGCAGTCAACTACAGACCAGTTGCTCTCACTTCGCACATCATCAAAGTGTATGAACGTATCCTCCGTGGTGTTATGGTTGACTTTATTGAGAAAAATCAGCTTCTCTGTAACAACCAGCACGGGTTCCGCTCAGGAAGAAGCTGCCTTACCCAGCTGTTAAGTCACGTAGACGATATAGTTCAAGGTCTTACTAGAAATGCAGACACTGACGCTATATATCTGGATTTTGCCAAAGCCTTTGATAAGGTCGATCATCGGTTACTGCTTCTGAAAATGAAGAGATTGGGGTTTCATGAGAAGGTGGTAAACTGGATCCGATCCTTCCTGACTGAAAGGAAGCAATGTGTTGTGTTAAATGGTGTATCATCGTTTGCTGCCGCAATCCTCAGTGGAGTTCCACAAGGCACCGTTCTTGGGCCACTGTTATTCATTCTGTTCATAAATGATATGAAGCTATGTGTTAAAGGGTCTGTCATCAGATTCTTTGCTGATGACACTAGGATTCTTAAGCATATCTACAGTTTGGCCGACAAAGATGTCCTGCAGGATGATCTCAACTCTGTTGTTAATTGGGCTAAGTGCAACAACATGGCCCTTCATGAGGATAAGTTCGAGCTTCTTGTTCACAAGCATTGTCCAAAGAATTCCTTGTTTGATCATCCATTCGCCATCCAAGCTCAAACATATGAAGTGTCTAACGGAAACATGCTGTACCCCACTCAAACGGTGAAAGATCTAGGAGTGACAGTTTCCGCTGATTTGTCCTGGACCCCACACGTCAACAGAATAGCTGAACGCGCAGGAAAAGTTGCTTCTTGGGTGCTAAGTGCGTTCAAAACGAGAGACAAAGCCACCATGATGACTCTGTACAAGTCTCTCGTTAGAAGCCATCTGGAGTATTGCTGTCCTCTGTGGAATTGCTCTAAGAACAAGGACATCCAACAGCTGGAAGGGATTCAGCGTACGTTTACATTGAAAATAGATGGCACCCAGCACCTCAACTACTGGCAGAGATTAAAGGCCCTAGATCTGATGTCATTGCAAAGAAGAAGAGAACGGTATTTAATCATCAACATGTGGAAAGTTCTGCATTGCAAGTGCCCTAATGATATTGGTATCCAGTTCTCGGTGACTCTCAGACATGGTCATAAAGCAGTTGTGCCCAGTATAGCTAAGTCCAGCAGTCAACGTAATCAAGCACTACATGACAACTCATTTGCAGTCACTGGACCTCGATTATGGAATGTAATCCCAACACATATGCACACCATCGAGGATCCTATGCAATTCAAAGCGGCTTTAACGAACTTTGTGAAGTCATTTCCAGACGAGCCTCCAGCTCCAGGATACAGCCGTCGGAATGGAAACTCCTTGCTTGATTGGAGTGGTGATAAAACAGTTTCTACACTGTCCGGGGGGTCGACATTTTCGATGGCCCGATAGAGGATTCTATGAAACCCTACAAAGTAACAAAGTAAGTAAGTAATATTTACCTCGATGAAGCAAGATGAGCAAATATGGAGGTGAAGGAATGTTTGCAATAGGTTGACTTGTTTGTACTGATGTCAGAGGTCATTTTTGTCCTGTAAAAATGACCAAATGTTAACATTAACCAGGGGAAAACCCATAATGCTGATATTTGAAGTTTGTAGTTACATTTTCGAGATGAAGTTGATAAAACATCTTGAATACACGATAAAAATAACAATGTGGTTTTTCGAACTCTAACTTTTTTAGTTCGAAGTTTTGAAAAGAAATCATGTTAACAAATATCAAAATGTAAGTAGAATGTCCTGGTCTATGAACCTGTAGTTGTAGCTGAGGTACCGGAACCGTTTGGAAACTTTGTTAGTCACGTACTTCACGTGTACAATGTCCTTCAGGTCTGTCTTAAAGAGTGTGTCTCCTGAACGCAGAAAAAAACAACAATAAGTGGATATATAGCTGATCTCTGTAATGGGTTTATAAACTGGTAATAGGTATGAGGTTCGTCGATATGCGAACAAAACCCCTGACCCTCTTAAAAAGTGAGCAACTTCAACTTACCTTCTTCAAAGTAAACAGTACCAGCGAGCCAGCAAGGACTGTTAACAGAGTTAATGTGGAGGATCATTTTGTCCAGGTCCGAGTAGGAAACTCTGACCTTATCCCCCACCATGTAGCTCGTGTTTTGGAATGTAAGACAGGTGATCGGGGCATGAGGGATCTGTACGGCTAGCCTGGGTCACGTGGTCAAGTATTAGTTTGATGGGGAAGAATGAGGTTAAATTGGAGTGTGTCTGGAAGGTGGGTTTAAGTTGAAGGAGTTTAAAAGAGGATTGTAAAGCTTTGGACTACTCAGATAACGGAATGATTATGAGCAATTAATTAATTAATTAAATGGGCTGCACTACCCTTCAGGGCACTATGGTCACTGGTAAGCTGAAGAGATATTAAATCATAAAGTTACGTACCTGTCTTGGAAATGTTCCAGAAATTTCTCCATGGTAAGATCAAAACATGCTGACTTGATCGAGACGACCTTGTCCCTTATCTGCAAGTAGCGGTGTAGGATGTTCAGTAGTTTTGTTCCTGCCTCTTTGAACTGAAGTTATTGACTTTAATATGTAGTACTAGGTAAGGTGATATAAGTGAATATGGTCAGAACTACGCTAACATCTCCAGCTGGTCGTCAAAATAACATCTTTCGGTAAAATTTCTCAATTTAAAAAGATGATGATAATGGTTCTATTCTTCGCTAACCAGTCACGCCTGTATCAAACAACAGAAACACAGAGATAAAATACACAAAGTGATGTTAATTTGATGATTTGCTTTTATCAAATTTCTTAACAAAACACAAAATAGAATGAAAATGGCTGAATCCTACGCTTAAATCTTTAGCTAGTCGTCAAAATGACACTTTTTGGTAAAATTTCTTCATTTTTAAAAAGGATGAAATAGCTGACTTTTTCGATAAACACCTGTATCAAACAATAAAAAAAACAGATGCACAGAATGATGTTACAAGATTTGATCTGTTCTTTTGTTTTTCAGTTGAACTATATAAATTGAAACGATCAAAATTACTGATAACTGGTTTTAGCCTCGTACAATCTTAGCTTTCAAATGATTTGTTCAGTAGTCTTACCACTCCTCCTAGTAGGACTTATTCCACCAAGCCTAGCAACATGCTCCAACAGTTTTACCACTGGTTTAAAGTTCGGTGAAACAGCTAAGGATTATGTGCTCTTTGAACCCTGAGCCCCTACAGGGCAAGTTCACCATCTGTGGATGGGTTAAGAAGTTGCGTCCTTCGTCCACTTCATCCTATACAAGAAAGCAAATGGTGGGTTGCATATTATGGCTCAACCGACAGCCAGTCATATCCTCATGATGAGATAAAGATAGATGAAACAGGATACACCCATATCTTCAACGCAAGATTTGATACGAGGAGTACAATAAACGTATTACGTACCTCTGAAAGGAGAATGGAAATATTTCTGTGCCTTTTTGTCCCTGTCCTCTAGGGCAGCCATGTTCTACTTCTAGGGTGAATTGATGGACACTACGAAAACTTCATAATATCATAAAATACTACCAATTGGTGGCTCCATGGTTCTTGGAAACGAATTTGATACTCTTGGAAGAGACATCGCTGATGCTGATCTCACTGCATTCGGCGGTGAACTAGTTAAAGTAAAGAACTGACGCAAATAAAGGAAATGAACGATGGAGGAATTTGCTCCAAAGTTGAATAGGAATATGGCCGATACGAACAAGGTATCTGAAATGGAGTGACTTTCTTCGTAAAAAGAGATCGAGAAACGTTATGTGTCGATGATTCGAGAAGATGGGGCATCTTGGGTAAGTTTATCATTCACTTCAATCAATTACAGCAATTTTCGAGAATTTCAAACAAACAATTCCTGGATATGTTCACTATTCATTGTTCCATGGCAGTAATCGAAAAGTGGCAGATGGCGATGGTCACCACAATTTAGTATATTTAACATTGTTTTACAATTCAGAATGCTATTCCTGGCCCTGGCCGGTGCACTATACGTAGAAGCAAATTTTAAACTTAGCTTACGTTTCAGATGACTTTATCGGAGCGACAATTACATAGAGACTTATCAAACATCTGCAGTTTTATCACAAAGAGGATTAAATAAGTTAAAAGCGTTCGACTTTTTTTATACGAAACTGAACTCTGTGAAAATAGACGTTGTTTCTAGAATGAAATTAGTATTTAATTTTACCCTCTTAGAATTAGATAACTACACCACGACTTAATATTTACATTGTTAGCCAATATTAAAGGTAGCTATTTAAACAAACTCGCACCCGTGGAATATTGTTTCTTTTGGGTCAGCACAGCTCAGGCACACAACTAGAACAGTACTAAAATACCACTAAAATGTATCCCGATATAGTATATAATAGAGTTACGATGATTAATTAATTAATTGATTACCTGGTTACAGTTCATGTGAGACACAATGATGTGAAGCAGCTCGTCCTGGAATCTGTCAAACCGCGTGTAGTATCCACAAAGAACATTCTCACGCAACTGACTGATATAGTTAATCAGTTAATGAGTTAATTAGTTAATTGTTTGATTATATGTAATCAGTTAATTAGAAGGTGGAGATACAATTTGTGTACGATTTCTGAAAGTTATTCAAACGCAAATTATTTTAAAATTTCTATTTGTGTAATTCAAATAAATGACCTTCACAAATAAGATAACCTTCTCATGTTTTAAACAAACTTTTAGATAAGACCTACCTAAAGGACATATTGACGAACTTTGAGTTTCCATCCGACCTTGTCAACTCCTCAATGTCAGTGTTTTTACCCAAATTATCCACAATCTGCAACATGACCCGGTTAACCAGAACTATAGTCTCGGAAGTGTCCTCAGTGGTCAGCTGGGATAGCAGCAGTTTCTGTAGCTTCAGTGCTCGCTCGTGGAGCTCCGATTTCTCTTCGTTGTAATATCTGTGTGACAGAGAGACTATATATATTAATTAGTACTATTTATTAATTATACTATTTATTAATTAGTACTATTTGTTAATTAGTAATACTTTAAATTAAAAACACAAATATCACCAATTTCCCTAGACTATCAGTTTCAAAATACTAAGATATAAAATGAATATTTATATCAACATATTTTGACATTAAAGAAAATGGATGACACCTTACCTTGCATTTTGCACGATGAGAAGACATGAACTGACCAGAGACTCCACGCTGTTGATAGAATCAGCCTCCAAACCCTGCTCAATCACATCCAGACTCATTGGGTACTTGATAACAGAGTGGTATGACTTACTCGACGGTATGGAGAAGAAATCATCAAACGCTATAATCCCTGACGAGTCCTTGTGATTTTTTAATATATTCAATATTTTTTTGGCTTTGGCTTTACCCACGATTACCTTTTTAGGCGTTGGTTTCATCTCGACGGTCCCTTCTATGACTTCTGCTTTGATCTCAGCTAATTTCTTGTGTCCTGATTTCGGTGTCTTGGACATTTGAGGCGTCCCTTTTGGAGTCTTTGACTTTGGTGTCCGTTGAGACGCTGCCTTAGGCGTTTTCATTTGTTCAGTTTCCATCTTAATCATTAATTCTGCTGCAGTGACAGCTGCAGTTCCTGCTTTCGGTGTCACCGGCTCTTGGATAATGGTGTTCGGTTTCTTAAGTCGATCTAAAAGCGGGGTCTGAAGGGTTCTCCAGACGTCGTTATAATCAACCAGCACGATATCCTCGGACAACACGTCCAGACAAGGCACATTTAGTCTTAGTTCTTTCTTCTGTTTGGTAATTCTCGTGACATTGGTGTTGTGCGTCAGAATAGAACTGTAGGGAGTGTGGCGAAACAGTGTCATCAGTTCTTCTTGTATGAAGTATTTCTTTCCTTCGTAGAAATAAGTCGGCATGCATTTAAATAACTTCTTGCTATCAGCGTCTGCTTTAACTAGTCTAAGCAAAACATCCTCGATTGTTGAGTATTCCGGGCACAGCTGATCAATTCTTGACAACATGCCACAAACAACTTTTAACAAAACATTTCGGCAATCTTCAGTGGTTTCGAGGACGTCTTCGAAGTCAACGATGCTGTCAATTCTGTTGTGGAAAGAGGAGTAAATGCGGACCATTTCGTGTTGAATCTCACTGCCTTTGTCTTTAAGATCATTGAAACACGTGAAAACGAGATACTCGATACTACTACTCTCTTCGGCATGGGTGACCACAGAACTTAGAACTGAGGCCCATTTTAACGGTGACTTCTGAACAACTTTATCTGATTTCTCTTTCTTGACAGCCGGAGAAGAAGTCTCAGCGTCTTTGGAGGGGACTTTCTTTCTGGATATAACCCCCGCTTTCCTCTTTTCTCCCACCTTCGAAGTGGAAGTTGTTGGTTTGTTTTCTGGAATTGTCTCGCTTTCTTCCTTGATATATGCTTGTGCCAAAGAGTTAACAAAATCTTTCAGATTGACCGCATCTTTACTGATAACACTTGATTTAGTGTTGAAATGAATTGCGTTATCACACATGGTTGTGATGTCCTCTGTCAGATTCATGATATTTTCGTATTTACAAGCGATTATTTTGCTTCTGATGCCAGCCAGCGAGACTGGATTCTTGATTTCTTCGTAGTACAAAGGCAGGACATCCTCGTCAATTAGTCTGAGGAATGCTGAGGTGATGGGTCGTCCACTCTTGTTACATCTCGACACTGCCTGAACAGATGTTTCCATTTTAGCGTAAATAATCAAAAATTAAAACAATTAAAAATAACGGTTTAAATTAAAAGTGTTCGACACGTGACTACGTTACTATGTAGGTAAAGATTATTAAGTTACACACTTTTACGTAATAACCTCCAAGTACACTTACTCACCTGACAAAACATGTTCCAAAAGTCCACAAACATATCCTTATTAAACTTAGTCTTCTTTCCATCTGGCCTGTAATCAATAAACTCATACTGGGGGTTAATGGCTGTTCTCAAACTCTTATCCGCCATCTTGGTGGACGTCATGTGCTTCTTGATGGAGGTCACGATCTCCAGGCTCATGTCGTGAAACTCGGTGTGGGGTTCGTTGTAGGTTTTGGCGTTTACACACATAATGAGGAGGTCTGTGTAGCAGTGGTAAAGGGACGTGTAGAGTCCTTTTGTGATGGATTCCTTTATCATTGATAGACTTATTGGGAGCTGTATTATCTGAAGAAACGATGTAAGGTGAGAGTGCAAATTATACGCGTAGGTGACGTTAAATCGACAATTATTATTAATGAAATTGTAAAATTGTTGTGGATATATGGGGTGACCGATCACAATAAACATTTTAAAACAAATAACATATTTCGAGTGAGAAGTAATGATAATCTAATTAGCATAAGTTCACTAACATCGTAGTAATCAGGAAGGATGTTTCTGTCAGGTAGATGTGTGAATGCCTTCTGAACTCCGGCTCTTACATTAGCAGCTTTTAAGAGTGCTGTACACAAGCTCTGCACTCTGAAATTAGAAAAACCAACATTAGATTTGTAGATAAATACACTCTACTCACTGTATCTAAATGCAATTAAATTTTTAAATTTTTCCAACTGGTCAGTAGACTCAGAAATTTCCTAAAAACAAAAGCAAAGCAAGCCGAAAGGGAAAACCAAATCCACCCTGATTCAGCTACCCTAATTGGCCATTATAACTAATCATTACATCAGCAAAAAGGCATCAGACTAAAAATTGTTTCAAGAATGGAACTAGAATCTAGCTAGATTATTACCTGCTGCAATTAGCATCGAAGTCAAAGTTGGTCATACTCATAGCTTCCATTTTGTTTGGAGTTAGCTTCAACTTTATTTTTATCTTTTCAGCTTTAGCCGGTGTCTTCTCAACGGATTTTACCGGAGTTTTGGACAATTTCTTTTTCTTGGGAGAACGATGCGATTTCTCCTGCTGGGAAGTCAGTGGTTAATTACCGTTAATGTAGTCAAGAAAATTAATTAATAAATAAAATATCGGAGCATATTTACAAAACTAAAGAACTGTTAAAACTGATCTAGCAACAATCATTATGTTGACCACACAAACCTTGATGACTTTCTTCTTCTTTTTGAAGTGAGCAGAGTCAGAAGCTGATGTATCTGATTCATTGCCCGAGTTGTAGTAGTCCATACTGATCAAAGAGTTGAGCTCCTCAGCAAATTTCTGAGAGGTTTTAAATAAATGTAGTATCAGAATGAATTGTTAACACTTAATATAAAGATGGCAAACCTACTAACGAATGCCAACCTAATCATATAACATTACATTGCCCTTTTACTTAAGCCTGGGTAAGCCTGGAAGTCACTTGGATACTTTTAAACTGTATCAAATGGAAAATAAGTGTTTTAATAATAATATTCTGTACCTGTTCAACATCTTCCACACCAGCAGGTCTGTTGTCCAGCCTCTTTAGGTTTGAGAATACAATCTTAACATCTGTCAAAAAACTGTCAAAGGCAACATATCCAAGATTCTTCACTTTCTTTATTATGTGACCAAATGCCTGAAGGATTAGAATAAAAGTATGTCAGACTACTTTTAAACAACAATCCATACATATGCCCACGTTTTCTTGAAATAGAAACAGTATGGAGACAAATCTTGGATATTTTACAGAACTCAATGAAAATATATATATTAAATACCTTGTAAACAGACCGTGTCTTTGTTAAACACTCATGATCTGTAAGAACTTTCGTCAGTTTCTGACAAAGCGCATTCAGCTCGTATTCACAATCATCAGACATAAGTTCCTCTGAGCCCTGAGCGTAAAGATTAGAATAATTGTAAGATCTTTTCATAACTCAAAAAATAAAGAAATGGAAAGCTGCACAATGTACCCACTGATCAAAGCAATCATAACATAAACTCATTTAAAAGCAAGAAAGTAAGCTTCAGAGTAAGTTCCAAAAATTTGTCATTTTTATCAACTTTAGGCTCAGTTACACAGTGGGCCAGAATAGAGGGGCAGGCTACATTGGATATGTTAGTACCATCCAAATATGTCTCAAAGGTGTTCTTGAGAATGCTTTGGCCCAAAAAAACGATTTATACCAATTCCTTGTAACTTGTTATCAGTTGCGTAACGTTGCCTGTTGGCGCCCCCCTCGCTGAAAAAGCCCTTTTGGCGGCCCTCACTAAAATTGAACAAATTAGATGATTATAGACGATACGCCAGTAAAATGTCTAAAAAAGTGTGTTTCTAGAGCAAAACGCGCAATTTTGCTAGTACCGTAGTTTTACCAAATTATCCCACATTCAAACGACAATTTGGCGCCCCCCTAAGATGGCGCCCCCCACCAATAATGCCGGTTTAAGCACGTTTTTGTCAATAACTTCTAGGAACTGAGCGCTCCTTCAGGAAATAATCATAAATTTGAAAATATATGGTCAGAGTAAAAAATATAGAACAACACAAGGATTGTGAAAAGCTGTTCAACCTATACTAGAAGAAAAATTGAGGTAAGTAGGTAGCCCTGGTTAGGTGGGTACACAATCCTTGCGGTATGCATACTTCTATCCAAGATTTGCATGCTTACTCATAGTAGCTTAATTTTTAATTTCTATAGATACAATGCCAGAACATGTCCATCATTTTTAATCCACTTAACTAGTAACTACCCAAAAGTATAATTTATAATACCTTTTGTACAATCATACTAATAAACGAAATTGTTGCTTATAATGCTATAATAAGGAACAAGTAAAATTATTCAAACAATATACACATAATTGTCACAATGACCCTATATAAAAACAACCCATCAAAAAATCAATGTATTCCCTATCTCAAATATTGGGAGAAACATTTGAATATTAACTTTGACTTGTGGCTCGAAATTCAAATCTAAACTATTTATATCAACAAAGTTCTTTCTCGCACCTCTGTCCCCCCGTAGAGAAATAACTGTTGTTCTTAGGATTTCGAAACGTAGGCGCTTCCTTATGTATCCAACAGCATCTGAATACTGTAATGCTATAATTGATAAAAATAAAATGTTGTTGTTTTCTTCAATAGAATAAAATCGGACGCTACTCAGTTCCGTGACCTGATCGTTTGCATAACTTCAATTTGCGATTTGTACCATAATAAAACTATCACTGCCATGGGGTTCAAAAAGGGTCATTGTAAGCCTCCAGCGTAATGGTCCTAAGTCTCTGCCTCATGCGGTGCCTGTCAACATCAGCTAACAGAATAGCCCTAACATAACGATCAAGCCACAAATTAGGTCCCTATAATGATTTAATATTGTTGAATAAAGAGATTTGAATATAATATTGTTTTATTCTGAATATTTGTTTTATTCTGAGTTCCAGCTGAAATTATTTTTGTAACGCAGCGCTCAATTTCAGAGTGTTTAAAGAATCCTCGTTCTCATTTCAAATGCTGCGCGGCGTATAAGTCGTATTTATTCCCAATTCATGTCATTGCGATTCAACACAACCGTCATAATTATAATAAGGTAATATTAGTATTGCGCTTAGATTGAGAAATAAAGATAACGATACTATTTAAACTAGGAATAACTCGGAAAGTAAGTTCATTAATCCAGAATGGAAACAAATCAACGTTGAACGTGTTAATTCGGTGATGCGCGCGTATCTGTACTGCGCGTGTTTGGAATTAATAACACACACAGCGCTTACAATCCACTTTGAAAACAAACCATTTGTTTGGAAATGCGCCTTACGTAAAGTTCCTCAGTCCAACAATTCAAAATCAGCTAATGGATACTTGTAACTGAATCTCTGCACTCATAAGGATTTTTGGCGAAGGACATGAGGCATTCCTTTTGGAAATTGTCTGGGAATTTATTATTCAACACAAGTCTTTCAAGAAATAGATGGAAATAAATTTATTTTCAGCAGAAATGCTGTTGCATGTATAGTAGGACAAGATGCTGCGGTGAAAAAGCTGCATCTGATATGAACATGTTATGCTTGTTAGCAAGACCTCCCGTTTGCCATCCTGACGCAAACTTATCAAGTTTCGCATGGTAACATAATGTACCCTACGGATGCAGTCAAAGACCTGGGGGTTTTGATCTCGGCGGACTTGTCTTGGAGCTCCCATGTTACTATGATAGCAGATCGTGCCCGTAAAGTTGCCTCTTGGGTTCTGAGCGCTTTTAGATCGAGAAACAAGATCACTATGCTGACCCTCTACAAGTCATTAGTCAGAAGCCATCTCGAGTACTGTTGTCCCCTCTGGAATTCAACTAAGCAAGCTGATATCGCTGAGCTAGAGGGAGTACAACGTACATTTACGTCCAAAATACATGGTGTGCAACATCTGAACTATTGGCAGAGACTGAAGGCCTTAAAATTGATGTCACTTCAACGGAGGAGAGAACGTTACACTATCATTCATATGTGGAAGATCCTACACAAGAAGTGTCCTAATGATGTCAACGTTCAGTTTACAGATACACTCCGTTATGGCCAGAAAGCAGTAGTCCCTAGCTTGTCAACGTCCAGTAGCCAAAGGAATCAATCGATCTTTGACAGCTCATTTGTAGTGATGGGGCCTCGATTGTGGAACACCATTCCCGCAAACCTGCACCTTATCGAGGACCCCCTACGTTTCAAGTCATTGTTGACGGAGTTTGTTACATCTATTCCGGACGAACCTCCTGTTACTGGATATTGTTGCCAGAACGGGAATTCGTTATTGAACTGGAGCGCAGAAAAGACAGCAACTTCGCTGCACGGGTGGTCAGCCGTTCTGATGACCCGATAGAGGATCTATGAAGCAACCCCAAGTAACCCAAGTAGTAAGTTTGATCTCATGAAAACTGTAGTGGACACCTAATTATAGAGTAAATTAACACGTGGCTACAAGACATCACTTATCACAGTTCAACGACATTTTAATTCAAATACAAGTCGATGAATAGTATAAAAGAAATATTAGATTATATATACTAGGCCTATCCACATATTAATCAGTCCATGATCATGACACCAAGAAACGAACCAATAACGTCTTTTCTCCACTCAAATATAGGTATTTCCTGTCTGTCCATCTTATCACAACAGTAAGAAATGAGAAGAGTAAATTTAACCGGACATTATGAAATGTGACACGAATTCTACCGTCGTATCTAGGTTACAACACTTTTCAGTGAAATTGCCAGGAACGAATTCATCATCGTAAATCACTCCACCAATCATGGTCCAGGAATTAAATCCACTCACAATACTGGTTACCGCTTGAATCCTAAACAAATTACCACCCCATGTTTTGTTGCCAGGACAACGTTGATAAAGCTATCAAACTTACTAATCGCAACACTGCCTGCCGCCGTGTTGTACATATCATTCTTCAGATTTTTACATTCGCTACCTTCTCTACACGCCCCTAGATAGAAGAAAAGCAAGCAAGCTCCGTAAATGAAGCCGCCAGTCAAAAACCTAGGCTTTTAACAGCTAGGACAATAGAGAAATGATAGGAGTCAGATAATGATCAATTATATGAGTTGTTTATATTGGGGAGCTCAAATAGAGGACCTTCCTTTATTCACCGTACCTCGATTATACCATAAACGATAATACCTCATACCCGTGCTGAATGACCACTCACTCGTTCAATATCTAGGTTATTGACAGCACATGATATTTCTTCTCCTACTTTCTAGAAGTTCTAGAATTACAGGGACCCATCATTAAGCCATTTAACGCTGATTAAATGTGGTGTATATGGAGATTATTGAATTGTAGGACTAGGTCTAGAGGTTACGATATTTCATTGGCCCTCAGACTGGTGTACTGCGCACCCCTTAACTAAACCAATTAAAACACGGTGTACATGACACGTGACACAAAGCAACCAATCAGAAAGCAGCAAGTGACCCAAACCAACCAATCAGACAAAGGGTTCCAGTAGTGCGGCGGAAACGCATGCTGTAGCTTCCGGGACTCGGTTTGTAACCAGGGAAACAAAGACTCGTTGTCATGGTAACCTGCACCTTACTGGTCGATTAGGGGTCATATTTAGAGGCAATGTTGTTACACAGGACTTTTGTAAAGCTTGCTGTGTAGTGTTCGGAGGAGAATACTTTCATTGGAAATGCAGAATGTGGATGAAGCATATTTACTGTGAGTAGCTATTGCAGTTCAGGGACTGGTTTAGTCCACCTCAAATAAGTTATCTTTACGTGTTTTATTGGACGTTATATGCACAGTTGATAGGCGGACACTGGGAACAATACGTTGTTTAACGTCTGTTGTGGGTGAGTTGGTTAAAATATTACGATTTCTGAAATACGAGAACAGCGAAATATTATGGTGTGCCAAGTTAGAAGTTAGTCAGATAATTTGAAATTTAGAAGACATTGCCAAGAGTGGGAAAATTGAATCACACGGAATTTGATCAATTAAAAATGCCAAAATGATATTTATAAAGTAACTGAGCTGTACAGAACATCGTTATCAAAATAGTTGAGCTATACATTACTCTCTTGAGTTAACTGAAATAAAGTCAGAATAATCTCACTTGATCACAAACACAGAATTGTTTAATCAACAAGTTTAGCATAATATGATTTATACAAAAAAAAAATAAGGCTATGTTAAGAAAGTTAACGTTGTTTTCACCTACATAATAACGAAAATAATGTGAATAGTTTAAGTCTTGAAAGGACGCTTTGCTTCCAAATTCCTAATACCTATAAACAATATTTTACATGAGTGAAGTGACATAATGAAAAACTCGGGATGAACAAATTAACATTTTCCAAGAACTAAATTAACAAAAACAGCTACTAACAAACTAAATCTCCCAACAAGACAAAAATTCAGCTTTAACACAAGTCACAACCCTACATCTGAGCATGTCCCAAACCTAAACCTTTCCTTCCCAAAATACACATACCGCACAATCTGCTTGAATATAAAACAACCATGTGTACACTGTACATTATAACATTAATTGTTATCTTAATGTCAACGTGGAATGTAAAGTAAAAACTTATCAATAATAACGTAACGTAAACCAAATTAAAATATTCCTGGCACTTCAAGAAAAGAAACGTCCGTGGGTGTCCTGTGCTTTGTGTGCCATCCTCCGACACTAATAAAGAAATGATATTATCACGTGATTATGACGTGATTATGACGTCAGCCTCTTCGTCACAGATAGTAATTGCTCCTCATAATACTCATATAACGAGGGGACGGCGAGGTCCGCCCTGACTGCTGAAGTTCTGTGCGCGGGGAGAGATTCTGATCGCTTGAAGCAGAATGCTCGCTTCGTGACGACAACTGTGCCCAAAGTTCCGTACTGCCATCGTTGTTTATTTTCTCGTCGAGATACTTGTTTATTGATTGATTGAGACGAGCTTTCATCCGCGCCAGTGTTTCGCTGGGATCTGAATAAGGTTTACGTGCAGAAGTATTGATGTTCTTGTTGGTGTCTGCGTCAAGTGCTGATTTGTAGTCGTCGTAGTTACGAGTTTTAGTTTGAAGCTCACGTTGTTGGTCTTCCAGACTTTGTTCCAACTGAGAAATGTGAGTGTTTAAAATCATTTGGCAGAAAGTTGAACAGAGTGGGACGTTTCATGATGTAATAAAGAGTTACATAATATGTAAATTTGTCATTATATCAAGGTGAATAACTGCCGGTGAAAGAATTCAAATTACGTAACACTTTATTAAATGGCGGTTTCAATAGATTTAAATTTTGAAATTTGACCCCGAACCAGAAATATTCAAACATTTTAACAGCATTAAAAGAAACTTAGATTATTTAACAAGAATGCGTGCTAATGCATGAATACAATGTGTGAGACTAAAAATTATTAAATAACTGCGAGAGTTAGATCTGTGATATCGGGGGTGGGGCAAGGCGGATTCTTCCAACATAAATTAGTAGAGAAAGATGATTAAAAGTAACCAACAAAGATACACGATAAACTATAATTGTAATTTCATGACAACTGCTCCTGGGGCCATTGTTCAAAGCTGTGATATGATAGTAATAATAGTATAAAATACTCTAAAACATAAACTGTTCACAGTTTATGTTTTAGTAGTATATCAAATCAAAAGTAATTCAAATCAAAATAATTCCTTCACTAACATGTTTCCGACGCTCCTGTTCCCGCTCCAACAGAGACTTTATCATTCTGTTCTCCGACAGCAGAGTACTCGCATTAACCTGGTCTTTTGTCAGAGCAGACTTTGTATCGTTCAGCTCCTTCTTGAGCTCGGCAGCGGTGCGCTCGAACCCTCGTTTCATCTTATCCTCGTTCTCGGATCTCATGGTGTCGATTGTAGAACGCGCTTTACTTTGCTCCTCTAGTTGCCTGGTGGGAAAGTTATCGTTAACTACTTTCAAATGAAATGAGGTATTTATATCTTTAAATAAATAATTTATTTTTCAGTAATATTTGGAATTTGGATGGTTGGTAGCTTGAAGCTTTCATTAAAGTTTGAGAAGCACAAATTCAGAAACTTTGGCAATATAAAACTACTTATTATACACAAAATGAAGCTTTGAAATATTGTTGACTCACGCATTGATTTCCTCTAGTTTTCTGTTAAGTTCAATTCTCGCTCGACCCTCCGCCTGTTTCTTCACACTTTCCAGCTCCTCCCTATATCAGAAGATACATATCAGATAGAGATTAATATCAGCTTGATATCAACTAGATATCATCAACAAAAGGTATTTGTTTGTCACATATTTTGATTAGATATAAATATATGTAAAATATTCAGCAGTGACACTACTAAAACAGTTTCCCACATTCAATAACTGATTGCCGACTGTATTAATATAATATTACATTATTACATTATAATGAGAAGCTAGAAAAACAATTCTGATTGGGTAACAATACACTCAATGATATGCAAATTTTCCTTGCTTGGCCCTCAACGAGTATCTGATTAGATTTATAGCACTAGTTTCAGAGGACGGCTATTCATTAAACAAAAGGGTTTGTTATGCAGTACAGTGTATTGTAAGCAATGCACACATCGCATTTGTTTATTGTCGTGTTATCGACTGGTCAGCTTGATATTGACATATTCTGACGATCAGAAGGGAGGGCCGGGGCAGGACAAATTCAGAAGCTGCACATATTACAGCTACGTTAATCACTGTTATAATTTGCGATTGACAAACAAATCAGTTATTCGACAAACGTAGAGACGTGTGAACATACAGATATACAAAAACCGAACAGACAAACGAACCTCGTGACGAGATCTGATCCGATTTTGTTGTGGATGTTGTTGAGGTCCAACTGTAACTGTTGGCATCTCAGTTCTGCACTCTGTCGCGCTTTACTGTTTGAGCTACTCTCAGCCTGCAGCTGTTGGATCTTCCCTTGCAAAGCTGAAAAGGGGAGTTATTTATATCAAACAAGGACTGAAAAGTGGAGATTCTAATAATTTAAGTTAGAATTATGTTTTAGAGTAGAATTGGAATATCCAAAGCTCTCAAACATTTCACAAGTAGTTGGCTCTCATCGTTATCTAAATGAATAAAAGAACTTTACAAGTTTAAATAATTCTCTTCAGCTAATATGGTTCTATTGTTAAAGAGATGGTTATCACTGCGAGCCTGCGATATGGTTGGACACACTTCATATTACCAAAGTTATTGAATCCAAACTCTGGAATTTAGAGGTCACCGTAATGTTGTTATTTGGAACTCAGCCCCGTTACCATGGCAACACTGTAATATAATTACGATAAAAAGCTGCTTCAATTCGCTGCTTGTTTATAGAGAGACCTTCATGGTAAATTAACAATTCTTCCGTTTCAGAGAGAGGAGTGGTATTCTAACAAATAACTTGATCTGATACTATAAATTAGCGGTAAAGGTCATTTGTTTGATAATGCTGTGGTATGAAAAAAGTTGTCTCGAACATTCTATCTGGTGGTAATATGCTGAGTGAGTCCCTGCCGAACCTAAAGTAACCTAAAGTAAGTAAGAGTCTCATCACAGTGATCTCTTTAATAGACAGCATTTCTCAAAACTTAATTAATTAACCAACCACCGCTTTGGTAAAGTTATGAAGTTTAATCAAGACATTAATATATATCATGAGCTAAGTAAGCCAGTGCTAAGTTGACCTGAATAACTCTACATTCCACATTGCAAACGTAACACTGTCTGTACTATGTCCCATAACAGATCGCAGAGTTCTAACAAAAACTTGACATATGTTTCACAAGTAGCTCTCTACAATTCGGTTAATCTATAACAGTAAGCACGCTTTAAGGATTTGAGCATGATCATATCACGGAATTGAGGGTTGTAGAATCTAGCGTGCTCTTTAATTGCGCGCAGTAATGTTATGTGTGTGCTGTGTGTGACGGATGTTATATAAAGTATAACATTCAATTGGAGGTGGTTACGTAGAGACAGGTAGAATGTGTGGAAATGGTGTGGGGATTACCGTCATCTAATTATGCTGTACTTTATTAATTAATTACATGTAAATTAATAAATAATCATGCTTTCCAAAGGTACTTATCTTAATTAGTATTTATCTTCGAGTAAACAGCCTCAGATTGTAGAAAGTGAAACAATTAAGCAAAATCGAATGCATAAAATCCATGGGAGGATTTCGTGATGTGTAACTCACTAATAACAAAGATAAAGTAAAAACTAAAAGACTAACTTTGCATTTCATTCTTTATGAGAAGGTAGTTTCCCTCCGCCGCGCCTCTCCGTTCACTCTCCATCCTGACACTATTCTGAGCGTCATCCAGAGTTTTCTCTAGTTCCCCTACTCGCCTTTTCTGAGCCATCTTGTCTCGCTGTACCTGTTATACAAGAGTTATTGTCAGAGTTCAGCATTTATATATTGCTTTTAAAATAGAACGTGACAGTAGTAAGTACATATTATATTTGATTTGTTGAATTTGTCAGTTGAGAGCTGATTGGCTGAAAGCTATGAGAGGTATAATCAAGATTCAAGAGTTTTATTTTGCTCATAACAGGACAAGTTGGGCCAATTCAATTATTGCATTTCTAAATCTGGACTTTCCGCCAAGAAACGTCCATTTGTCAATCTTCCTTTATTTCTAGAGAATTCGAGATCAACATGGCGTTACAATTTAAAGAAGTAGTATTAAAAATCAGCCCCCTTAGAGCAATATAACACGTAATGAACTCCCGTATCGCCTGCTAAGTATCCAGGGTACACGTAATCCACACAAGGAACCTTCTAGAACAAGAACCATAAAGTCGCTTTAATAAAAAGTTGAAAAAGTGGTATACAATATGCATGAATACCAAATTTGGCCAACTTTTTATAAATACGACTTATTGTGACACTGACCTTTCCTTTCAGTGCATTGTATTTCTGTTCCTTTATCTTTCCCTCTTCAGCTTCCTTTTGTGTAATTAACAATTGATCCTTTAGTTCAGCTGAAACACAAAATATATGTTAAATTATAATTATATTATGTTATTGTTAATTGTGTTATAAAAACTAAACATTTTAATGAAGACAGCTGCTCATGTTGAATGTTTTAAACATATTTAGAGTTAATGTAAATTTAGTTAAACGGTGCAGTACAAAAAACAAGGTAACACAATATGTAATGAGCTACAATTAATGAAAGAAACATCTACAAGTTCGTGATTTTTTCACGTGAGCGCTAAGCCTTCCAGGCAGCGCTCACGTAATGTCCGACTAAATAAAGTCCGATAAGGTATAATATGGATATGTGGCATACCAATTCTGTCAGTTTTATTAGAAACGAATATAATTATAGACGCATAATTTTATGAATTCTGGCTGATCATAAATTATAAAACACTGACAATCTGAACATTTTGACATTATATGCAGAGTATATAATGTATAATTATTACATTATAATTATTACATTATAATTATTATACATTATATAATGTATAATCACAGTTACCGAAACTTCTTTAACAGATCAATCTAACTTACAATATGGTTGGCCAATTACTCGACTAATCTGAGTTTTTTTGTTATAGAGACAAACTTTTATGAACTCTGGATCATCACAGAACTGACATTCTTATATCATAATATTATACAGGTACCAAAACATCTTAAACAATAAACAGCTGCCACCAAAACAATATCAACAGCTATTTGACCATAACATCAAACAGCTAAAACTATGCAAGAATGCGCAAGTTAAAAGGTCAAACCTTATTCAGAGCAGAAATAAAGATGTGTCTTCAGAAAACATGCAGATTGTATATTTTATAGAGATTTCAGAATCATGCACAGTGCACAATCCGGCAAATTCTACTTTTAAGTTTTAAAGATAATTTCTCTCTCGTTAACAGCCCCATTCCCCAAGTATACGTTACATTGTATAAATAACATGTTCATTTTTCAAGAAGCCGACTTACCACTGCACCGGTTAATATATAACGCTAATAACATCTAAAATACAGTACACTGAACAGGTGCTATATCAGGTGCTATATTAACCCGACTGTAACAGCTCTCTGTGGTTGCATTGAAACAGAACATTGATTGACAATGATTAAATAATGCAGCTAAGATTAGAACAGAAAAACTCTTGACTATGTCAACATATAAACTGTATGAACATGTTACATGAATTTAATAATATCATACATGTGATGCAGCATGTGTTATGCAGCCTTTCCAAACATCAAGCACGCATAACTAACATTATTCAAGATATTTACATTCTAAGTACATTATACTACTACTGAATCCAGCTGACAAACCATAACGTTGAATTTATAATTTTATAATTATATATAAGCGCTAACGTGCACTAATGTTCGGATTATATTGACACACGATACCTTTAGGGTTAGAACATATTGGAGCACTATCGGACCCTAAAAGTGATGTGTTGGTTTTATTTGTCTTATCTGATGAAGAAGCGTGGAGAATAATTGGAGAGTTGTTAAAGAGCTTCGAATATAAATTATCGAATGGGTAGTGTTCACTTTCAGTAAAAAATAGCATGCATTTTAATCAATTTACAAACAAGCTCGGATATTGGCATCTAGAATCAGTTTATAAAAAAATCAAGAATGGAAAAATGAAACACTAAACAAACGAACCTATATCTTTGTGAAGATCGGTCATGTTGGCCTGCAGTGCGTCCACATTGGCCTCCGCCACCTTCCTTGACTGAGCTGCCTTCTTCACCTTCTTCTGTTCCACATGAAGCGAGTTGTTGAGGTCCTGGTTCTCATGCTCCAGGCTCGTGATTCTACCTCCGATGTGAGACCGGGTTTTAATCTCGTTTTCCAGCATCTGCCTCGTTTCATCCAGTTCTTTAGATGCTAATGTTCTGCCCATCTTTTCTTCTCTGTGACTATCCTTGAATTCCTCTACGGTGTTCCTCAGGGTGTCGTTCAAGGATTCCAGTGATGCGGCGTTTTTCTTAGCTTCAGTGAGCTCGTCCTTCAGTTGTGTGGTGTAATCTTGTTCTGATTTGTAGAGATCCTGGTAGTGAGCCTTGTTCTGTGCTTCACGATCATGGTTACCCTTCAATTCAATAAGATCGTTATTCAAGGTACTATTCGCCAGAGACTTACTGTCAAGCTTCCTCTCAACATCCTTCCTAAGAGTAATCTCCGCATCAAGCTTATCTTTAGTGTTCGACAACTCGTTCTTCAAATGAAGTCTGTCTGTGTACAACTCCTGAAGTTTCTTCTCAATCTTCTTAATTTCTTCACACAGCTCGGTGTTCTTCGCCTCAAGACTAGACTTTTGTTGTTTGAACATGTCCTCTTTGACCCTGATGGAGGATGCCTGTTGTTTCACCTCCTGCTTAAGACGACTGATCTCTATTTCACCCATGTCCTTGGCTGCCTCAGCAGACACCAAGTTTTGCCTCAACTCTGACATGTGTTCTTGTAGTGCTTCGTTCTTCTTCTTCAGTTCTTCTCTGGTCTTGTCATTCTCCTTCATGAACTTCGATCTAGTTTCAGTTAGTTTCTCGTTTACCAGGTTCACTGAATCGTCCCTCATCTGAAGACTTTCCGTCATCTGATCCACCTGCATTTCCAAAGATTTTTTGTCTTCGCTGAGGTGCTCAAACTTGCACTTCAACATTTCCAGCTCGTGATTGTTCAGAGCGAACTTCTCTCGTTCCTTTTGGAGCTGCTCTTCCATGCTGGATACGTATTTTTCCTTAATTTGATCCCGCTCAGCATTTGTCAGAATGGCCCCGGTCTTGTCCAAGATAAGTTTATTTGTTTCGTTTAACTCAATTTGAACGTCTTTCACTTTATTACTGGAATGTAGCAGCTTTTCTTCCAATTCTCCAACTTCGATTTGTAGAATTTTTATCTTCTCGTCCTTTTCAGCTACATTTTCGATCAAGTGGTCCGTATCAGAACAAAGAGATTCCTCTTTCATCTTTCGTATCTGAGCTTCTTTCTCAAACTTCAGCGCCAGTTGTCGAACCTCTTCCTCGGCATTCCTCAACTTACGTGCCGTTTCTTCGCATTGCTGTGTTTTGAATTTGAGTTGGGCATCAACTTCGCCGATCTTGTGGTTCATCACGTTTATCTGCTCATTAGCTGAAGCAGTGCCGATCTCCTCTGCCATCTTCAACTTCCCCTCCATTTCCACGAGCTTATTTTGCTTGATATCACGTTCTGTGACAGTTTTTTCGAAGTCGACTCTTAATTTTTGGATTTCGTCGGAAAACTGTTTATTGGATGTTTTGAGCTCGTTTTCTTTTAGATCAAAGCCGTGCTGAGACAAAGTAAGATTAGAAATCTCAGTTCTCAACTTTTCCTCAAGATCTTTGATGGTTGAGTTTTTCTCATCCAGTTTTGATGATTGTATATCGGTTTTACCACTCAGTTCATTAACTGAACTCTCCAGTTTCTGAATGCATGTTTTCATCTCGGATTCACTCTCAACCCACTTCTTTGACTCCTCCTCATGCTTCGCCTTCAGATTAGACAGATCATTCAGGAGATTTTTATTTCGGTTTTCAGCGTTTCTGCACACCTCTTCAGCCTCAGTCAACTGCTGCATAAAATCTTGCTTCTGTCGAATGTTTTTTGAGGCTTCTGACGAAAGATCTCTGCTTCTGTTGACCTGATCGTTAAACATTTCTTCCTGAATCAACCTAGTTTTCTGTTCCTCCTCGAGCATTATTTTCAGTTCGCTGATCTCAGACTCGTACTGCTTCTGAGAGTGTTCATACTTCTTGGTTTCTATTTCAAGTTGTTTCTTTGCTAACTCCGCCGCTTGATGATCGGAAACCAACAGTTTGTGTTTTGATTCGAGCTGCTGAAGGTTTTCTTTCGATGTTCTGTACTGTGATTCTATGCTAGCCCTCTCTTCCAATTCATGTTCGTATTTTAGTTTTAAGCTCCTCAAATCCAATTCCATGTCCATTCTCGATTTATCATCGTTTGTTTTCGTGCTATAAGTTGCATCGATTTTTCGCCTGAGCTCCTCAGTTTCAATTTCTAGCTGCTTCCGAAGCGTGTCACTTTTGTTCTTTGATTCTGTAACTCGATGAAGCTTGTGTTTCGTCTCTTTCAGCTGCTCTTGGAGTTGTTCCACCTGAGGATTACTTTGAATTTCAAGATTAGTTTGGATGTAAGATACAGCTTCACTTAGGGCACTAGCACATTCGCTCATGTTTGCTTCAGCCCTAGCAGCGGGGGCAATGTTAGGATTAACCTTAAGATCCATTTGGACTTCTTGCGTCACTTTTACGGACATATCAACAGGCATTTCTTCCTTATCAATCAGCGAATTAATCGACTCTTCACTCGCAGCACGCTGTATATCTGCCGATTTTACATTCCTTGAATCAGTAGCATATGACTCTGACAAAGAGCATGGACTTTGTGACCGTCTGCTCTTTCTTATCTCTTGAAGCTCTCGCTCAGCTTCCGACTTCCTCCTCTCAATATCTTCATATTTAGCTGAAAGAGCTGGGTCACCAGGAGAAGTCCGTGCCACAGATTTTTGTTCTGATGTACTGGCAATTTCTTCATCCCCCTCCGCCTGATCATCTTTCTTTTCTTTTTTCGGCGTGCTAGTCCCGTCAGGTTCAGCGAAGCAAATAGGGGCACTTCCGAATGAAACCCTTGGGGTGACATGTTTAGAAGTTGGGACAGACTTTTGTTCTAAGCATTCTCCCTCCATTGGACTGACTGACGAGCAATAATTAGAGTTAGGAGAGTTAGGAGAATTGCTGGAAGAGGTGGCTCTGCCAGTTTCGGGTGTTTCTCTACTTTTCTTAGCTGTAAGATATTTTTTCGCCAACTTTCCAGTTTCACTTTCATCAGAGCTCGAATCCTCCATTGTCACATCAGCCTCACAGAAAGGCTCTTGTTTAGATTTTAGCTTCGGTTTCATGATGTTATCTTCAAAGCTGTTATTGGCAGCAGGAGAGTCTGGAGCAAACGCAGCTGGAACTCTCACGTCGTTACTCTCCATGTCTATCTCCATGGTGGCCTCCTCTTTGACAGGGGTTATGTAATTCAAGAGCAAATCACTCGATTTAGCCAATAGTAATTCTGCTTCATCATCAGATATGCCAGAGGTTATATCCTCACTGATGGATTCATCCTTAGATTTTTCCAGAACTTTTTCAGATTCTACCCTCTTTTCAGCTGCACTAAAGTCGGGTTTAAGTCTAGTTGGGCTAGATCTTGCAGAGTTTAGGATGTTTCTGTCAGTCAGTGAACTTTTTGACTGAGACACTACGCTTAGGTCATTAATATCGACCGATTTTGACTTGTCCGGCTTATTGTGGCCGCTCTTGTTTAACCCAACTGAATCATCAAAGGATGTATCTTCTGAATCAGAATCATCGTAGTCCATACCACCAAAATGCAGTTTCGGTTCAGATCGTAATGAATTTGTTGGTGTGATCTTGTTCTTTTTTACACCATCAGCAATGCTAGATCGATTGCTAGGGGGTGTTTGAGGGGGTGTTCTCTTTGTAGATGCTACCACACCACTAGAAATGGACCTTGGAGCTTCATCGATATATGGAGTCATTCTAAAGTCACTTGGGGTGTCACCTTTTGGGCTGGGTGATTTTCTGCCGCTTGCACTGCTTCTCACGCTTTCTGATAAATAACCAGATATTTCAACATCCGAATTAAGAGAAATGCTGTCCGACAAAGTGTTTTCTGGGAGAGGAGAGATTGGATCAGGACTAATAACTTCACCCAACTCGGGGCTAGCAACCGGTTCTGTTTTTTCTGTAATAGAGCTCAAAGTGCTGTCATCGTCATCTATCAAGTAGCCTGCCCCTCTAGGTGAAGCTTTTGGGGTGCTGCCTTCTGAACTGTCTCTTCTTGGTGTAGTGGGCAATCTTTTAGGAGAACCTTTTTCCGATTTTTCTGGAGTTTTGTCATTCTCTGAGGGAGGATCTTGGTGGCTAGTTGGTCCACTTTGAGTTGTGCAAGATTGATCCCCAGCATCAAAATCGAAACCAAAATCAAGTTTGAGTTCATTTTTATCGGGCAGATCTTCTTCATCCCTTGAATCTGGCATTGGTATGGTAGGTATATAACCCATATCTTCAGAGCTAAGATTCACCGAAGATTCATCATCATTTATGTTTGATACTTGGCCCAAGGAGTTGTCATCAGTACAAGGACTTGTTCCAGGACTTGGAGAGCGTGATGTGTTTGCTCCCAACTCAACCTGTCCCTCACTTAAATCCGCCGTCTTATTCATGACTTCTAAAAGACGGTTCACAGCAGCCCCAGGAGCGGGACTAGGTTCAATTGCTTTGTCATGTGTCATAGACAAATCTACCTCAGAAACCGACTTGTCTGAAGATGAAAAGACGTGATCAACATCTATCTCTATATCGTCTGTAGACTTGTTCATAGGGATATCTGGCGACATTGTTCCGTTTAATTCTATCGGAGATGACATAAAACTATCATCTTCTGTCAGATCTCCATCCGGTGGGGCAGTCCAATCGTTAGCGGAGTTCTTATGGTTGACAGCTTCATCTTGACTATTGATAGTGGTGATGTTATCATGTTCTGGGTTGTACTCAGGATTGTCACATTTCTTGTCATGGTCTTCAAGCAACCTTAAACAAGTGTTGTCAGCACAGATTTGGGCAAAATCAAAAGCTGTCCAGCCATGTTTGTCTTTCATAGTTGTGTCAGGGAACAGACTCAAAAGATACTTTACAATGCTGACATAATTTGATTTGACTGCCATCATCAGAGGAGTCCTTCCCTCGTTGTCTACAACATTTAGATCAGCACTCTCAGATCCCAAAAGTTCTACGATTTCGTGATTGTTTTTCCTTGTTGCAATTATAAGTGGGCTTTCTCCTCCACTATTGCAATGATTTACATCGGCTCCAGAAATAACGAGGAGTGACGAAATGTCAACGTTATCATTTGAGACAGCGAATATGAGAGGAGAATTTCCATCTTTATCAGCAAGATTAAAGTCAATAATTGGGGTAAAGTTATGATCAACCAGCAATTGAGCCGAAGTCGCTTGATTGCATTCGCAACTTTTTATCAGTGCAGTTTTACCCTCATTGTCACAGATGTTTGGATTAACTGAACCAGTGGCTAACAAAAAGCATATAGCTTCATCGTGGCCTTGAGCACAGGCATAATGAAGAGGGGTTCTCAGATCTTTGTCTATCTCATTAACATCACTCTTTTTGAGAGCTTTCTTTAACTTTTTTACATCTCCTTTCCAGGCAGCTTTGCAAGATGCAGGTAGTTTCTGTTTCTTTGCCAGCACATATCCTTTACCAGGACCAAGAGAGTCTGAAAAAAATGCATTATAATAACTGCCAAATAAAAGAATTATGAATATGTATTATATGGATTATTTTCATACATGAATTTTCTTTTTTAAGAAACAATTCCGAATTCCACTCGTTTGTGAAAATATAGGCCATTAAAATTGATTAAAAAAATTTGTGGCAAACATGATTATTTCTTATCTATTAATGCAAATGAGTTATGTAAGTTAAATGAAAGATTACCACCCAGCATACCTATAGAGAGGTTTGAAAGGCTGTAACTTGAGTCTCCAGAATTATTGCTAAGTTGAGAGATTGGTCTCCCAGGAGAGCCATCAACACTTAGGTTGGCAAAAGATCCATCAAGGCTAGTTTTATTCTTTTTGGAGCCACTTCTTTTAAATAGCTTTTTCATTATCTAGACATTCTAAAGATAGTAATGTTATTTCCAGTGCACTTCTAAGTGCTAACGCTTTAAAAGGGGGAAGTAGCATTTCAATATAAATCATATTATACATGACTAGAAAGCCTGTGATCACAGGGAGGTGATAGAATTTTTTGATAGTCAGTTTTTATAGCATCAAACAATATCCGTCACAACCGAATAATTACAGCCATTAAAATGTAGCTCGCACTGAACACAACATAATTACCACAAAACCGATAAAAATGACGTTAAAACAATCATTGCACATGCATGTGCAAAGTTACCATGGTTACTTTGCAACTACCTATTTCTCATCTATTTGCACGTGGGCAGTCGTACAAACAAAGAGAATCTTTCGAATTATAAGTAAGATTAATTCTGAAACTCCCAAGGCATTTCTAGAATGAGATCCAGCCAATAAATTGATTAACAAAAATTGCTGACAATAATGTACTTTTTCCGCTGTATAGGAAATTCAGATGGAGAAATTTTTGATTGTAAAATTTTACCCAAATCTGATGTGGTTTTAACAAGATCTGATAAATCGAAAACAAATATCAAACAAAACTAAAAAAGCTGTTAACTCAAAAATTTTAGCTGCAACCCATACAGATTTATCTTTAACATACGGTTTAGAGCAAGATATCTTATTTCTTAACATGCCATATCTAAGTACAAAAACCCCTATGTATAAGTATAGCTAGTGTATTTCAGTTGTTTCAAGTTAGGTAACACTATTTTTATGGAGACTGGAAGTGGAAAAATCTAAATATGAGGTCAAACTCATCCATTCCACCATTTGGATGAAAGGTAGGGTGTTCTCTTAGCTACGCCACAGCAACATGCTGTCATGAGTTATGTCTGTTTTTGGCTACAAGCTATAACCTTCACCATGGTGTCTACGGTTGCATCTTACTGCCTGGGTCCTGCTAATGTATTGCTCAGGCTGCAATGTTTTTTTCTTTTTTAATCAATAAACTTTCAAATTGTTACACAAATACATCATTTTATTTCAAAGAAAATTTCGCCGAATGACCTTACATGCCTTGACAAGTGACCGAGAGTAAACAAAATTAGGGACACTGAAACACCAGTTGACTAGTAAACTGGTCATAGCAATTACATCGGGCCCTAAAGTAAACTGGTCATAGCAATTACATCGGGCCCTAGAAATTTTTCTGTATTTTCATAATACAGAATGTAAATGTTTTGAAATGTTTAGTAAATTTAGTTTTTGTAACTATATTTATTCACGACGTTACAGAAGGAATAGATTTGATGTAGTTTAAAGAGTCCTCACTCTCCTCACGTCCAACAATGGCATTTCTCTTGTCGCTAATATGGAGTAATACAAATCATTTTAGAAGTACCAGCTTACAATATTGTCCCTGTTATATCACTAATTTAGTGATAAGCCAGTCCGATCATCCAATTATTTCATGTTTTAAGGCAAAGTTAAGGAAGGAACTATAAACCCTAATTATAATTAATAAGAAAGTGGTGTTATGAAGAAGTAAAGTGTGTTGAAGACTGAAGGGGTAAAATGGTCTGGATCATATTTGGACTTACTAGGCCGCGCTCAGCCTGTCATTCCGCCTAATCTCTATGTTAATGAACATAATAGCCTGGGGTCCCCAGGTAAATTTGGACCAGATAACAATTGTTCGCGGAGATAAAGGCTTATGTTTATGGTTGTTACTACTTACTATGGATTCCATTTTTGTTACTGTACTAGACTGTACTCTTCGATTGAGTCATCCATTAACTAAGTAAAGGGCAAAGAAGAGTTGACACAGTACAAATGTGTTAATATTGCATGGATTAAATATGAAATGGAATCCGTAGTTTATACTTCTTAGTACTTAGTTCCTTTCTGCTCTCTGAGCTAGCCAGTACATATAATAATACTGCTTTGTACTTGGCCATTGCTAATGGTCTGGCCAGGCGCGCGCTACTTCGTAGCACTTGCCATAACATTTCGAGAAGAAAGCGGCGCGCGCTACTTCGAAGAAATTTAGACGAGTAACATCCGTCAATATTTTCTACTTTTGTATACTGGTTCATAAAATAATAACAAATAGTATAGTACACGCTATATAGCTGATAATTTGTGAAATATATAAACGCGCGCCCTTTTTGTTAACCAGTGTTAGTGATCAGGCCCAGCGCGCGCTACTTCGTAGCACTTGCCATTTCGAGAAGAAAGCGGCGCGCGCTACTTCGAAGAAATTTAGACGAGTAACATCCGTCAACTTTTTGGTGAATTGCGGGGGTTTTTTACCAGCTTGCGCTACGCTCGCGCTGAATTGTTTTGCAACTCATCGACAATTTTAGATTTCAATATAGTACAAACCAATCCTTCTATGCGCGGCGCTCTTTTCGAGCTTTTTGAACAGTGAAGGGAAAGTGAACCGAGCAAAAGGCAATAATACAAATAATAATACAAATAACAAACAAGTAAAATGATGACACACGTTGCAACCCCATTTGATCTCGCGCGAAGCGCGCGGCGGCCGGCCGACCGGAATGCTTAGCGTGCACAAAAAGGTATACAACTTGTAGCGCGATGCACTACTGGGTCGCGCGCGCATCAAATAATGCTTCTCGCAACCACATCTTCGGTAGATCGGCGAGATGCACCACTGTGCCTCACCGAGCTGCGAAGGATTGACATCGTGAATCAAGTATACAACGTGCAGCAAGTAAATTTTAAGATTTTGATTTGATTTGATTTGTTACTCGTTAATTTCGCGTCGTCATTCGTGAAGCAAACATATTATTTTGTGTGCGCGGCGCGGCCCTGTAGTTCCCAGCACTCAGTAGTGCATTACCAAATTAGTTATTTGATTAACGATGTCAACCCTGCCGAGCAGTTGTATCACGTTGCGACCCCCACGGTCGTTTCACTATGGTCCTGACGATACAGGGGGAGCCGCGCACTTCGTGCGCGGCGCGTCATACGACGTATGACAACCAAGCAGAGCAACGATCTTCTTCTATGCAAGAAGAATAATTCGTGCAGTGTGTCGAAGGCCTCCTAACTAAGTACAAAATAATTGTTTTAATATTATTCACCTGTTATGTTACTGTTTATCTATTTATTAGTTTATTTGTTAATATGTTTGATAGACGATTTATGTTTATACTTAAAGCTTTTATTTCTATTGAATAATATAAAATGACATTCATTAACTATGAATTATGTATTTGGTTGCCGCAAGTTGGAGGCCCATCAATGCCGTCCATTTCTGCGGTTGTAGTGCGATGCACTACTGGGTCGCGCGCGCATCCAACAATGCTTCTCGCAACCACAGATCGGCGAGATGCGAAGGATTGATATCGTCAATCAATTCCTGCGGCTATTTATACCGCCCCAATATTCAAATATTTGCTCAAATAATTGGGAATTGTTGGTTGAGTGTTAAAGTGAAACAAATTAAAGTACCAGTTGTGTCAGTATACTTAGTGAAACAAATTTTAGTGAAACAAATTTAAAATTTAATCCTTTATTTTACAATCATAATATAGTAATATTTATAAGCCTCCGTTTTGAAAGTTTTAAACTTCAATATATTTGCATTTCTATTTAAAGTTCAATTTTATGTATAAGTCAATAACTGGCTGTCAAAGCCGCGCATTCATGAAACAGGATTAACTTTCTTATAGTTATACAACAAATTAAATTTAAAACTATCCGAGGTTTTAAAAATAAACTATAATCTTACCTAAATCCAAAGCCTGCTTTATAAAAGTTAATTTTAGATCAAAATATATCGTCAATTCTGAATATTTACAATGCAACATTTCATTAATCTATAAATATGAAATAATAAATAAGCGGTACTCCAAGCCCCTACAGCTACACGAATCGCAATTCTTATGCGGCGCGGCTCAAGTCGCGCAAGCACGTATTATTTTATACTTTTTGCTTTCTAATAAATATTGCGTCAACGTGTACGTCTAAATGTTCATGTTTTGTGTAAACTGAATTCAATTGAGACTAGTGACAAGGATAAGGATCCAAGTGCCTGTACGGCTTTTTCGGACCCCTGTGGACCACTACTCTTGAAATCGCTCTACAACATTGAACATTTATAACTGTTATATAACATATAACGTCATTTGACAATTATTGTCATTAATCTACAATCTAGTCTAACTATCTTGCTGAGGGGGAGGAGTAAACGCTTCACATTAAAATACTTCCAACATACGAAATCTAAAACTATCAAACCGGTTAGTTGATATCATGGACAATTTTTTATATATCTATTTCGTAGTAATATCTTCACATCTTAATACTATAATAAATTACAGTAGGGTATATGTTTCGAGAAAGAAAGGTTGGTCCGATTATTAACAAAAGTCAACCAGGGACTCGATGGAGTCGAAAAGGGTACACGGCCGCTGTCTGGTGCTGCTAGGCATTTATTTATCAAGATGTTTTATTGTATTGGTTTTTGATGATTCTATTTGCTATTTTTCATTACTAATCAAGTTCTAAGTGGAGGTATAAAGTGACTGTCTGCTGCTTAAGATACTTCATCATCTCATGTCCCGTATAATGATTAAGATAGTATACAATACAGTTTCAGTAGTTGACCCATACAGTTAAGTCCGTCATAACTCACAATCGTTTAATCGTCAGTCAATAGTCAAAGTCCAAAGTCGTTGTGTGTTTATTCGCTGAGATAGTATATAGTAAGCTAGCAAGATAAGTTGTTACGCGCGCGCGCGTTTTATCCCGTTAACGTGAAATGTGACAATGAAAACGCTATAAAATTATTACTTTCGCGCGTTACGTAGAGTTTACAAGCGTGTAATATTGGTTAACACTGGGTGTACACTGAGTGTAAGTCGCTTAGTTTCACATAAGAGCCGCTGAATATTTCCAATTTTGAGTGTATCGTGAGCATGTTTTACAGTGCGATTGCTCGGTACTAGTGTGTTTGTGTATATATATATTTTATGTAGATTCATGTAATGCCCTCAACCAACGTCAGAAATCTAGAATGTTAGACTTAGTCATAGAGAACCAAGTTATCAGGTCTAAGAATTTACGTAAAAGTTTTTACAGCTTTAAAAACTGCATAAAATCTTCGCTCCCACCTTCAGATCATGATAATTTAGAGAGTCATTTATCCAATTTGATGCACATG